ATTACTATGAGACAAAAGGTACTTTTGTTATTTCAATAAGGGATAAAATTGAAATTTTAACGAAAAGGCAATGGCACTCTACAAATAAAGTTCGAGGACACTAACTTCCAAAATGCCATTGTACCTTTGTGAAAATTTTAAATTTGCTCTTGTTTCATAGTAAAGTTACCTATTTAAATAATTTTTAATTAAATAATAAAAATTATTTTAATAAATACACCCATCACAACCTCTTCTAACTTGAACCTTTGTATTTTCAAGTAAAAGGAATATGAAGGCGTGGAGAAATGAGCTTTAAATTTCAAGTAAAAAGTCCAAAATGCTCTTCTATATCCTTTGATCTTCAATTAACATAGGGGCAGTAAAATAGAAATACGATTCACAAATTCTCAAACTCGAACCTATGTAATTTGAGAGGTTGTTAACCTTAAAAAATCCCTATATATATATACAATCCAATGAAGGCGCACTTCTAAACAATCCAATTACGGCGCACCTCTAAATTCTATCATAACATGTAATTTTGTTGTAAAACATTCTTAAGATTATCTTAAAATCTATTTTCATATATAATTAGAAGGTTTTAAACTCCAAAAATAGTTAAAATCAAGGACATCTATAAACATATGAAAATCTAGAAAATGGACGGCCTAGATAATGTGTCGCAAGATACACTATTTATGAGACTCAAAATTTTTTTATTTTAATATTCATACATCTTGATATTCAGATGATCACATAGAGGTTTTCCAACATTAAAATAACCTTTCTGATAGGTTTTTGAGGTGCATCTGTAATTCTACATTTTAAGGTTGCAACCGATATATATATATATATATATATATATATAAGAAAAATATTTTGTACACCCATGGGCATACTGCTATAGTAAATGCCCACGACTTAGATTGAATCTGGACCGATCTGACGATCACAGATGTCCAATAGTGTATGAATTTTAATTTTAACTTTTTACAAATCCAAACCGTTTGAAATTTTAGGCGTGTATTCTTCAAAAATAGGCGAATCTACGAAAAAATATCAAAAAATATTTTACATGAAATAAATTGACCAAAATACCCCCAAAAAATTCGAAGGTATTTTGGTCAATGTTTTTTTCGCGAATTATTATTTTTTATATTTTTATCAGGTGCGCCTTAATGATAAAAATACGCGCCTAATTCAATTGATTTGGATTTGTAGAAAAAAAAATTAAAATTCAAACACAAAATAAAGTTGTGAGCATCAGATCGGCCCAGATTCAATCTAGGCCATTGGCATTTACTGTAGCGATCAGCGATTGGGCATGAAAAATCCACTCCCATATATATATGGAAAAAGTTTATATAAAGCTGAGGCTCTAAACAATCAAATTTGAGCCTACCTAAAAAATTTCACTACAAAAAGTTGTTTTGATGCTCAAATATTTTCAAATCGATCATCTTGATATCAAGATGCATGGACTTGAGAAAAAATGGATTTCAAGTTATGAAAATAGTATATTTTATAACGCTTTTTTGGATTGTCAATTTTCAAGTTTTCATAGATCTATCGATCTACACGATTTTTTAAGCTTTAAACTTTATAAGTAAAGATGAAAATATATTGTAAGGCTATCACAAAGATTCCCAGTATTGAAACCACAATTCTCGACACTATTTAAAGGTAGGCTCTAATTTGATT